TTTTCTTTCTACCAGGGCTAACTTTTTTCAGTCTCAGCTGTTAACTGTCTTGGACTGTTTAAATCTGAGTCACCTTGCAGAATCTGAAACAAATTAGTTAATTCTTGAGCAGACAATCCAATTGTAGGCTGCAAACAGTTATTATCACTCAATAATTTTTGAAAATCATTAAGAGTGTGCAGTTGATCTCTCCTAATCTGTACCTTCTGCAGCTGAATTCTCAGCTTACTTAATTTATGGGCTAAAAAGCTAAGAGAATCTCCTCTTTGTATTTTTTTCAGGAGAAATTTGTAATCCCCAACAGGGTAAATTTTTCTATACTATATTAAACATTTTTTCTAAGGTATCTGTATCAGAAGCAGCCAATAAAATATAATCCACATAATGATAAATAATAGACTAAAGAAATTGTTTATGAGTCATTTCCAGTGGTTGATTTACAAAATATTGACACAAAGTTGGGCTACCGGCAGTGGCCCTACTCTAAATTTGGATAGCCAAATCCTGTCAAATCTTGCCTTTCTACAACCGGCATAGCCTGTGCCCTGTCCTTATATTCTTCTCAATGCTCTTTCTAGGAATATATCCCAATTTAAATATCAATTTATGCACTGTTTCTGAAATTGTAGGAATATTAACTTGAGTTCACCATGTTGTAACAAATCTCTTCCATAAATTCATGGCTGCATCAGCCATGTAAGGCTTTGATATCCCTTCCTAACCTTCTGGCCCTATACATTTAATCCACTCTACACTCTGTTTTACTCCAGAGAAGGTTTTAATGCCTACAAATTGAGTGGAGACTTCTTGTAAAGGCCAGTTAGGATCCCAGGATTCTTGTAAAATTATAGATACATCAGTATCAGAATCCAACAATCCTTCAATCTCAATCTTATTTGATTTTATTTTTAATTTAGGCCATTCATCATTGGTAACTGTTTGCCAAAACACCTTTTCCCCTGTATTTCAAAAGCCACTATATATAGGTGCCACTTTGCGTTTAAATGGAAGCAATAATAATTGAGCAATTCTATCACCACCTTTTATTTCCATGGTCCTTTTTATACATGCGATCTTTAAAAGCATTAAATACAATCTCTATAGGATTTTAAGAGGCAATACTCTGGAGTATTTTTAGAAAATCTTAGAAAGAGGATCCTTTTTTATAGATCCCAAGTAACACATTAATGCAACTTACCAATTATTAACAATGTGGATCAAACAATTTACCTGTATTTTATTGAATGGAAATAGTAATTTTGTAACATCTCTATCAGTAAGAGATTATTTTCTATGGGTTTTTATCCTCACAACAACATTATTTAATAAGCTAATGACACAATCCATTTCAGGTGTTACATTTCTATAGAATTTAACCAAGAATTTCTAGAAAGCAACCTTAAGAGCAGAGCCACATTCTCGCAATGATTAACAGACAAGAGCATACCTAATATATAGTTGAAAATTATGAATCTTGTTCCCTTAGTTTATCTATCATGAAAATCAAACATTCATCCAAACATTTATTAGACAATCAAAAGAAAAGAACATCCTCTATACAATGAATGATTAATATCTCTGGAATTTCAAAGAGCATCGACTTAGCATTCCATGTTCTGACCACAACCTTTCTCCACCAGAAGTTGGGCCTGTTTAAACTGCCTCTTTCTCCCATGAAGGGACTACTAATAATGAGTTGTTCTCACCATTAGGGTAAACAGAAAACATTTCCCATGAAGGGAATCTTTAATATTGAGTTATTCCCACTCTGGGGGGGGGGACCATTTAAACCAAAGTTAAGCAAACAGACAACAAAATTCTGAGCTCTGGGTTTGCTCTTCTTCAGGCTGCAGCAGTGAGGCCCACCTGTTGATTCTTTGTAATTCAAATATCACAGCTCTGTGCTGGCAAGCAGAAAATGCTCAGTTTTAGCTATCCTGAAATTTCTTAATAGGAAAGAGACTTTTCTTCCTCTATTTTTACTGGGAAGAGGCTTTTTTCTTTCCTTTATTTTTCTTTTATGGGGCCTTTTATTCTTTAGGCCTAGTTTCAATATTTTCCCCCTTTTTACTGGGAAAATCCTTTTTTCTTGATTAAAATTTTCTACCTTTTCTATCAGGAAATTTCCTTTTATTTCCTTTCCTTCCCTCTTCTCTACTGGGAAGATTTTCTTTTTTCTTTTCTTCCCCTTTTCTCTATTGAGAAATGTCTTTCTTCCTTGATTTATTTCCAGTCTCAGGAGCCATTTTATTTCTATCTTTAAAAATTATGCAGTTATCGCTTTTTCTTTTGACAAACATTTTAGCAACTGTACATTTTGTTGCTCCTGAGATGGGTAGTTTAAACGCCCCACGCCCCTGCCGATCCTGGAGTCCTCTTACCCCGAGAGTGCTCCCTCCAGTTCCTAAGATGACCGGCTCCTCTGTCCTTCTTCAGCGGATCCTTTTCCTTTTTCAAGCCATACATTGGGCTCATTTGCCACTGCCACTTTGGGCACCAATTGTCGTGGATTGACGCAGCATGGGTGTGTGGGTTCACGCGGATCCATGGAATGAAGGCTCAGAGGCATCTTAAGAATGAATCTAGCCTTTCATGACTGCAAAGGGGTCCAGCCTCAAAGGACTGAAGCACTTTTCTTCACCTAGGGCATTTTTATTTTCTATCTATTTATAGTTTAGCCAGTTAATTTCCGTATCTCCAAAGCAACCTGAAAGGAGCTCCCAAAGATAAAATGCCAAGTGCAAATTCCTCCATTTCTCAGGTACTAGGTTTTCCAGGTTTCCTGGACCAAGTTTTGCATAGGCCTTTGACCCTTGGGAGAGTCTCTGACAAGATTCACATAAGGTGACAAGAGAAACAAAAGGTGTCAGTTAAACAAAGGATGGATTAGGGCTAGGTGCTCCTGTAGATGTAACCAACCATCTTGCTAAATAAGAAACACAGAACCAATGCAAAGAAGAAGAAAGCCAAGAGATCAGAGCTAAGAGCCTTACCCTCCTGATGCAGCTAGCCTCTTAAGCCAAGAGACCTCCATGAAAGAGACCTACTTCCTGTGTGTTTGTCTTTATATAGTCTTTCTGTTCTGCCTACTCATTGGATGTAAACCCAAACACATGACTGCCTCGTCACTGCCTGTCTGTAGAGACTTACAGGTCTTCTATGGTTGGGATTGAGATTAAAGGCATGTGTCTCCAATGCTGGCAGTATCCTTGAACACACATAGACCTACCTAGCTCTGATAACCAAGTGCTGGGATTAAAGGCGTGCGCCACCGCTGCCATGCTCTTGCTATGGCTCTAATAGCTCTGACCCCCAGGCAACTTTATTTATTAACATACAATTAAAATCACATTTCAGTACAAATAAAATACCACCATATGCTACTCTCTGGAGCCAGGCCAAGAGTAGCTCAGCAGGAATGTAGCCACACAACACTATCTAAAAGTCCAAAGTTCAAAGTCTCTTCTGTGACTCATGACAATCTCTTAATTGTACTCCCTTGTAAAATAAGAATAAAAAAGCAGATCATATACTTCCAACACGCAGTGGCATAGGATATACATTACCATTCCAAAAGGAAGGAAGGGGAGCATAGTGAGGAAATACTGGACCAAAGCAAGACAGAAAACAAGCTGGGCAAACTCCAAATCTGCATCTCCATCTCTGATGTCAAAGTGCTCTTTAGATCTCCAAGTTCATTCAGCTCTGTTGACTGCCACACACTTCTCTCTTGGGCTGGTTCTACTTTTCACACCTGTCCTTCAGAGGTGTCTCATGACTGTGGCATCCCCACCATTTGGGGTCTCCACTAAAATCCAGGCTTCACTTTCACACATTTGTACAGTAACCTCTCTGGGCCTCCATGTAGGAGACCCTGACACACACAGCTGTCCTCAGCTGCTTTCCTGAGCTGCAGAGGGAGATTCTACAACCCCATGGACCACTTCCTCCATGGAAAGGACAACTCTTTGTCCTTACTGGAGTAGAATCTTATTCTGGCTGTGGATTTGCCTTTCCTGCTCATAATGCTTCTGCCAAACCCACCATCCACAGACTTAGAACATGCCTTATTCACTGCCATGTTGCTTCTGACAAGGAACTCACTTCACAGCCAGAGAAGTGGGGCAGTAGACTCATGATCATGGAATCTTCTAGTTTTACCATGTTCCCACCATCCCGAAGCAGCTGGCTTGATAGAAAGACGGAATGGCCTTTTGAAGACATAGTTACAGCACCAATTAGCTGACAGTAGTCTGGAGGGCTAAGTTAGGGTTTCCAGAAGGTGGTGTATGCTTTGAATCAATGTCCAAAACATTGATACAGTTTCTCCCATAGCCAGGACCCATGGGTCAGGAATCGCAGGGTAGAAAAGGGGACAGTTCTA